TCTTAGGATGCTCATGAGATAACATGTAGAGGGGAGTGTACAAGGTGTTCTTTGCCCAAGATACTACCTATTTCTACCGACAGCTATTGGAAAATGAAAGACATGTTACTTTACCTGCTAATTAACAACCTAAATATTTGATCTGGGATGCAGGGTGTTCACATCACAATTTTTGCCAAAGGATGTTTTTTGGGGCTGTCAGCAAGAGGTAAATAATTAAGGCTCTCAATTCTGGAGCCCCAAATTGCAGATTTAAAGAATAAATACATAAGGACCACTCAGCAAAGTAAAACTGGATGTTTTCTGACAGGAGGGGCTTATGTCTAAAAGGAATTCTTGACAGCCTTCCAAAGCTGAGGTTAATGGCTAAGGTGGGGAAGCCATGAAATCACTGAAGTCCGGCTCAGAATATAAGAGAAAGAGAGAAAGATGGAAGCTGGATGTTTAAATAGAAATGAATGAGCTGTGCTAAGCAGGAAGGAGATGTAGAGAGTAAGCCAGATGCTAGTTATAGAAAGCATGGGAGTAGATTCATGCAAAAGGCAAGGTGATTTAATCACCACAGATGATTAAAGCATCCTAAAAACTCTGTTCAGACTGGCATTTTATGTGGGACTGATCCCTGTCCTAGCAGTGCTAAAGCCATCCATGTTACTACAGCTATAGCAATTCAGAAACCTGGTTCAAATACAAGGCTTCAGCTGATATAAGTCACTGTAGCTCTGTTGAAGTCAGGGCACATGGAGCATTGACATCAGCTAAAGATTAGGTCCATAGTTCAATTGTATTTATACCACAAACACAAACTGTGATTTAAGCACATCCACCTATGTTGTAAAGAGGTTCTCCAACAGGTGGCTGGGACCTTGCCAATGAAAAGAAAGCAGCTAAATTAGTACAGGTGCTTGAGGGCAGCAAGGCAAGTGAAAGGACATTCTTATGGGCTTGACACTGTTCTCCATACTGTGCACCACATGGCAAATCCACTCTGCAATGCACCTAGTACAAGGTGGGGAAAGAACCCACACACATGTGGTTCAGTAGGTGAAGTTCAAAGGAAGCAATATGTGAAGGTGTGGGCAAAATGGTACCCAGTGCCTTGTCAGCACATGAGAAACATACCTTCCTGTTCATGGAATGAGCACCAGTTTGTACCCAAATGAACTATGAGTCTTACTGTTAGTGATAGTTTCTCCAAGGTGTGCGGGGATACCATCCATCTTCTGAACCACCCAACAGAGCCAGCTGGGTGCAGAAAGGGAACAGCCTTGAGCCCCTCATCAGGAGTGGCTACTACATTTCCCTCAAACTCTGGGAAGCATTGTGCTTGCTTGAATATATAGTAATGTTACGAGAAATGAAGGCTGCCTAAGGAATGGCAGCCCTCAGGTGTTGGAGTATAAGCTGAGGAGGTCAAGAAGTGCTGGAATTTGTCCTGCAACATGGAGAAGAATGAACCAGAGTGGGACTCCTAAGCAGTGGGGGGATAGACAGCTCCCCCATTAGTGGGAGAAAGCAGCCCCATTGAGACTGCCAGCTCTGGGGAGCTCAGGACAGGAGGAGATGGATGTAGAGAGAAACTCTCAGCATGCAGCTCCTCTCTCTCCCCACATCAGGCTCTGGGGTGGTCTGCCACACCTGCTTCTTCTCATGCTGCCCAATTTGGCATCGGCCTCCTGAAGCTCTGAACCCAGTAATTCCCTGGGGGAGCTTGGGCACTATGCCTAGAGTATCAGACACTGCAGCACTGCTCACCTGGCAGGTTGCCAGCCAGCAGAGCTTCTCAATTCCTCTCCTGTTCACTTGTTACAAAGGCTTGGCTGATCCCAAAGTTTCCTAACCTGCTTCATCCCCTTTGGCTGAGATGTTACAGAGAGGTGCTGAGTACCTGGGATCCTGGACAGTACATTTCAACAGGCATAGGGACCCTTACCTAGCTCTCCTACTCATAATCCAGCCTGGGGATTATCATTCTGCCTTGCTAGAACACACTCTGGTTTCTGTTGGATGCAGAATTTCTTGTCCAAGGTATAATCCAAGGTGCTGAGCACACCCAGGGAAACGTGGGGCAGCCCCCTTCTGGCTTGAATGGTAGCAAATCAAGATCAAGCTAGGAAGTATGTAGTGTTTCTCCCTACAGGCTGCATTTCTAGGGGGATATATTCCTGGCTGCATGTTATATAGTTTGCCAAGCATCATGGCTCCTGTTTTCCTGCTAGAAAGGGTTACATGAAAGGAAGATGTGACTCCTAATCACTGTCAGAAGACTGAACACTCAATCTAGCCCCTGTCGGTATTGAGTCCAGCTCCTTCGCTGAAGCATTGCTTTTCCTTCTCCAGGGGCTGCTATGCCATTGTGCACGTCCTTCAGCTCTCTCTGTGGAGGAGCAAAACAGGAGGAGCATGGAAATGAGATAGAGGTTTTCTTTTTTAATTCAAGTATGTGGAAAGCAGAGAGAGAGAGAGGGAAGAAAACAACTTGGGAAATGAAAGGATGATGGCTGAGAAGACATCCTGGGCCTTCTATACTCTTTCTCATTCCTTTTCCTAGTGCAGTTATTTATATTGCTCGTCACCAATGCTTCTGAGCATCTAAGCATCCTTAATGCATTTATCCTCACAAGACCCCTATCATATGGGGCAATCCTATCATATCTCCAGTTTCTGCCTGGGGAACTGAGGTACAGAGAGATTAAGAAATTTGCCCAAGGTCTCCCAGACAAATCTGTGGCAGAACGAGGAGCTGAACCCAAGTCTTGTGATTCCCAGGGCAATACCGCCTTAATGAAAAGGCCAACTTTCCTTCTATCTTCCTCTTCTCCCTCTCCCTTCTCATCCTCTTTGTTTCTCTTCTGCCTTAAAACTTAGCCAGTGAAGCATGCAGGCTCTCTCTTGCCTACCTACTACCTGAGATTTTTGCATATCTGCTCATGTAGATAATCATGAATGCAGTAAATTTTTCCTGTTTTCCCCTCTGTGAGTGAACAGTGAGCAATCACAAAATATCTGAATTGGTTTGTCATTCAATTGATCCATTTGTTTTCCTTAATGGATAATTCCTTGATGCAAATTGCTAGTGTTCATGTTTCTGAAATTCACATGATGCACCGTGCCAGGTAGAGACAGATGTCTCATGACCTTGTTTCCATCCCCTGACTAGGTTACTCAGATCGCCACTCAGGACTGGGTGTGACATGTGGATTTAACAATCTACTCCTAATTGTGGTCCTAGCTTCTGGTGCCCAATCTAAATTCCAGCTTTTCCTGCTTATTCATGCAAGTAAAGTGCTTAAGGCTCATAGAAAGATACACAGACACAGCCAAATCAAAGTTCACCTTCACATTCAGAGGAATGTGAATGGGATATTCCCCCCCGTGTTTGCTCATCTTCAGTACACACATCTGAAGGACTCCAAATGGGTTGATTTGTCTAGTTAGGACTGTATAACCTGGACTTATGGCTTGTCCCCACTCTTCTGTATTTTACAGCACTCGTTGATTTTCCTTTCCATTTTTTATTTCTTTTCTTTATCACACCAAATAATCAGTGTGATGAAGGCTCTTTGGCAGTATTTCATTCCATTGCTAGGCAGCCAAACAGGGCACTGCTGCTTGTTCTTAGAGCCTTTGCTCACTTCTTGACTCTGCCACCTACTCTCTCTGTATGTTGGGGCAAGTCAGATCACCCTCTCTCTGTCCTACATTCTTCCCATTTGTAAACAGAAGGTGATTGTGCATACTAATTTCACAGTGCTGTTGGAGGACTTGGAGTATAGCTCTTCTAAATGCCACTAAAAAAAGAGTCTGGGAAACACTTTCCTAAGCTCCATGCAATCAGGAGGGAGCCATCTTGCATACAGCTTGTATCCACTCAGAGTGGAGGAAACACTTAACTTTAACCAAGGAGACTTTGCCTCTAGTCCAGGATAACCCAGTGGCTGGCTGAGTAACCTTGTGGGGGTCACTTCACTTCTCTGGGAGGTGCTGGTTCATCC